GTATGAGGATAAACTTCATAATAACATATGACTTTGAAATGTATATAGGTTTAAAGTAACTGCTGTAGTGGCAAAATGATTAAAAATCGATACTGACTGTGGCTCAATCCTGAGATATATTTTAAATTACGATTTTGTGTCCACCTAATTGATATTCAAAAAATATTATGAAGCAATTCAGTAGGTGATACCACAGAATAAATAATAGTACTACGTAGTGATACACTGAAAGATATAGTGAATTAATTTTTTTTTAAACAAGAATATTGGCAAGATATTGGATTATTTGATCGACTCCGTTTTTTCCTAAGTTATGATTTATTTTTGGGTCGGTTCGTATAACAATTTATGACAAGATTCCAAGTAATGTTACAGAATTTCTCTCGCAATAGGTAATTATTGAAACGATGACGTAATGTATTTGAACTTCATTGTAAGGGACAATTTTGATTTAAATGGTCTTGATTTTAACTTTGATATGGAAGCACTATCCAATTAAAGTTTATCAGTGAATGGAAATCTAATTAATGTTGAGAATAATAATTTGACAATACACGTTTGCAAAAATAGAATTGCGTGCATTATTTAGAGGGATGGCCACCCATCCTTAACCATAATTAAACAATATGTTTTTTGCATTCAGATTTTAGCAATTTAATTATTTCATCATTAAGATTATTATCATAGTATTTAATAAAATATGAAATAATCTCGCAGATATCGTGTATATAAAGTCATATAAAGACAAATAATTATTATTGCGTGTATAACGTACGTAATATTACTTATAAATTAAAAACATATTACGAATACAGTACTTATCAGCACTTAAAATTGTTTGAAATTTAGGTTGCTAGTTGTTACAGACTATCCACAAATTTTGGGGTAATGAAAACATTCTATTAAAACATTTATGTAGATTCATACAACGATATTTGGCTTTATGGGTCGACCTACATTGTTGTTACTAACCTACACCTGTCGTCATTAATTCATACTTTAATAAGCGACACTGTGGCTAGTGCACAATCTTTTATTCACGACTCTGAACGCGGCTGGCTCGCTTCCAAAGTCCATTATTTTCATTCTCATAGCGAGTTATACCATTCGTCTGAGAATTTTCAAAATTGCAATAACCATTTATTTATTTACCTAACTAGATTTATTGTCTGTTTTAATTTGGCTTTGTCCGTCATTGGACATAATGTGCCTACCAATCTGGGAGGTTTTGCGATCGTCGCTTAACGTATAAGCGATCACAGTGTCCGTCTCTCCTAATTTAGACAATGACGACGGTCTGCGTATTTTTAAATATGTCGTTACTAATTCTGCAGATTTTTTTTGTGTCGGTTTTTATATGAGTAAATCCTTTAAATATTACCAGAGTTCGTGAATGAAATGTTTGTGTTTGAATTATAGTATGTCGTGTATCATAAGCGATGTCTGGACTAATTCTTACTCCAAATGGACTAATTTTAGATGTATTTAATCCGTTTGTAAATGTTCTTTTTGTAACACAGCTAATGGTTATGAGATATGTTATCATATTTATTTATTAAATAATTGTCATGTTTTGTGTATGAATATAAAAATCTTAATTTTCTTTATGTAATTGATTTTTCAGTATGGCGTTAAAAATATACTTATTGCATTCAGCCATAAAACAAATGTAATTTAATATTTGCGAAACCGTCAGCTGCAAAGAAGGCCAAAACTCGTCGGACTTTGTGAATACTTTATGATCTAACTTCTAGTTGCTTATGAAGTAATGTCAGGACTTTTCAAAGCCGACCGTTTAGTGATATATTTTTTATAGAATATAAAAGCAAAGTTATTGAATTATTGATTACTTACTGTAGGTACTGTATTACACATGCTATGAAATAGAGTTCATAAACGTACACGTATGTGCGTGTCAAAGATATGGCGTTGTAATTATATTTCATTAAAAGGACTTGCTTATAAAGTTAAATTAAATATAATTATGCTTTTTTTTTAGCAAGGGTAACAAACGAGTACACAGTCCACTGATGATAAGTGAATGCTGTAGTCTATAGACACCTTTATTTATCATCTAATAATTCTAATGCTTTTGTCACTTCTATGGACTACGATGAAATGTCTCTTTACTAGTAAAAAAGGACTCCAAATATCTATATATCCACATTCACCATATGGAACACAGAAACATGCAACTATTTTGGGTTTACCCTGGTATCTTTCTATGAGCTATATTAATATGTCGGTTCTATGAGCTATATGGCCGACCTATTGCTACTTCAACTTACTTATACGTTGGTTACTGTGGTACTCTTATTTTGAGCTATATCACGCAGAGAAACTCCGAGTGTAACACTCTCCATAGCTCGTTAAGTAACTATGAACTTCCTTAAACGACCAGCGATCAAACCATCCACGTTATGAGTGGCAATCTGTTGTCACTGATGTTTTATAGTTTTGAGAATTATTGACTGAGATGTACTGTAATCTTTCGAATGCTGCCTAGCCGAGTTGTATAAGTTGATTTACCTCAGATAGGTCCAATCAAATTGAGACCTTTATTGGAAGACTTATTTTTTTTGTTTGAACTTATTTATTCTGTGAAAATGTGTGAAGTGGTTCGTCCTCGGTTGAGCAAACCCAATTTGGAATGCAGCCATATTGGTAGCAGCGGTGTTTCTCTGTACGTATGATGTATTATAACAATAACCTCGATACAGTTGTATAGCTTCTGACGGCGGAAGAACATTACGAAGATGACAATATTATGCTTTAGTCACAGTTAAAAATAATGTCGAGTGTCAATATGTGATAGCAATTGATATGATTGACGATTTTTTGGTGTAGTATGACACAAAGCATTGTTATTAGTGCCAGTAGTGCACGAAGTGTTACCTCTTGGAAATTGGATTTAATGAAATAATCCATGCTCAGAATTCTTCTTAAGAATAAGAAGCTTTTCGATTCAGTTAAATTCTCGGGCTTAGTGACCAAGCCGACTGTGAAAGTTTCTGAGTCCGGTATTAGTCTCACGTGACTTAGCTTGAAATATTTCATAGCCTGGCAGATAAAGGCCAGACCAATAAGTTCGAGCTCTTGTTTTTCTAACCACGAAAACGCCTGTGTCTGTTTGTTTTTAATTGTTTAATTATCTAATATTTGCTATTGTGAATATTTTGCCGTTCTAAATAAATTTTGAAAAATTTAATGTTAGGTACGCAGATGGATAACTACAATAATATATTAAAGGACTAGTTATATAATGAAAGTTAATAATGTACATAAATATTCTTTATGTTCACAAATATTTGTAGGTGCATAAATATCTTTATACGTGGTAGAGCAACGCTGAAGCTACATTATGGTTGTAGTACGAATGGGTCGGCACGACCGGGCTAGGACCACGCTCTTACAGAATACCAGCGTAAAATAGCAGCTTAATACCGCTGTAATTCGTATGGTGAGTATAGAGATCCGGAGACACTTTTTTACCTGAAACGAGGCATTCTATCTTAGTCCTCAGGGGTGATAAAGCATCCACAGCATCCACTTACCATCAGGTGGACTTTGTGTTCGTTTATCACCTTTATTCTATAATAAAAAAACGCATTTTACTGGTTTTGATTCTTATTCGTTGGTAGGTGTAAATAGGGGATACAATATCTAGGGGATACAATATCTTTCAAGAGGCTGTCTGTTTGTCACTTTTACTCGTATAAAAAAATCACCGATTGCATTTAGGTACAACGTAAGTTGGGGCGGTAGATTAGAGAATTTTAATATTTCTAAGATTTAAATTTACTTTGCATTTAAATATTTAAAATATTAGAAAACTATAATAAAAAAATTTAAAATTAATTGGCTGCGTTTCGTTTGTAGATTTAAATACTATAGTCTTCGTTATATTTCAATTACAAAAATTCAGTAAAAGTTTATCCCTCGTTATTTTCAGTTTTATAGTTTATTTGTTACTTTGAAACTTTATATTCCGAAAACTTAAGTGTTAAACATCACATTATATATCATCATCGTCGTCATTACAGCTCTTCACAAAACCACTGCTAAATAAAGGCTTCCCCTAAAGAATGCCACACAAACAAGGTTGAGCCACCTGCATAAATCGCCTTTCTGCATATTTTACCAGGTCGTCACTACATTTAGTGGGCGATATCCATCAGTATCGCTTACTGGTTAGAGAACCTTTCTTACTCATCGGATGTCTGTTCTATGAGTTATATGGCTGGCCTATTACCACTTTAACTTACTTATCCGTTGGCTTCTGCGGTAATCTCATTTTGAGTTCTATCACTCAGAGAAACTCCGAGCGTAACTCTCTTCACTCACTGGGCAACTATGAGCTTCCTTAAGCCACCAACAGTTAAGGACCAACTCTCAGGTCAATCCATCACGTTATGAGTGGCAGTCTGGTGTTGTGAAGAATTACTTGCTGAGAAGATGTGTTGTCATCTCCAGAATGCTGCCCAGGTCTTAAAATTAAAATTTCTATTGATATACTACTCGATGTGAAAGTTTTTTATAGAAGGGGGCAAACGAGCATGCGGCTCACCTGATGTTAAGTGACTACCGCCGCCCATGATCAACCGCAACACCAGTTAACATAATTTGCTTACATAATTTGTATTCAATATTTTCAAATTTTGACCCATATTGGAATTATAAACTTATCATTTTTTGTCTACTTTGGTCAAATACTAAAAGTTATGACAGTGTTATACTTCACGCTTGGTAGAAATCTCTGGGTTCTTAGGTAGTGTAAATTTACGATAAATGTTTAAAGAAAACGACACTAAAATTAAGCTAAATCGTAAAACGTTCGCCATTCACTGGAATAAAACGTTATAAATTCAATATAACACCTTGATTTAAATGGCGTAAAACGAAGTATATTTTATTCCTTGCAAAATGAAAGGTGTTTGCATGTTGAGACTTGGTCGTTTACAGTTATTCTTGAACATTATTTATAGTAGAGACATACTCACCACTTAACATAATGAAAGTCGCACAGAGAAATATTCTCGGAGATGGAATGAAAAAGTTCGCTCGTGTTGGCGCCATCTGTGTTCAGATAAGAAATTGTTTTAGAATTCGATTGTGGAAAAGCATTGCTGTTTTTGTATGTTATCCGGATTACGAGTTTTATCGTTTCAACTCTTGCAAATCATTTTAAGCATAGGTTTTAATATATGTATAGTTTTAAGAGAGATATATACAATACTAAGAAATATTTACTAATTACTTTGAAAATGAAAAAAAAATTAGACGGTGAAAATATTAAGTTTTTAGAAATACATGAATATATGCATTTATTCCTTTAAACATTATTACACAATTATTATTAATTAAACACAAAAAATGCGATTATTGTCAACTGGTTTTAAAATTACACTATTTATTTATTTTTGAGTACATAAAAACCATTATATCGGGAATTAATTATATTTTATATAAATATTAAAATTTGGTACAATATTCATTTAACACATACAACTTCTATATTATTTAAATACCTATAATATAGTTTTTCATAAAAATAATGATAATATATGGATAGTTATACCTTTGATAATAGATCCAAACAAAGTTAGTTTCACTTGCGTTGGAAATACAAAGTACCTAGCCCGTAAGTTGGTGGCTACGCGCTCACTGCCCCGCGGTGACTACGAGTCGCGCGTAGCTGTCGTAGCAGTGACGTAGCACATTGTGGTCATGATAAATGAAGCATCATTTAAAGTAAACGATTATCCTTTTGTGAATATTATGGTATAAGTGGTTTTCGATATGCATTTATAAAGTTTATTTTAATCACGCTATTAAAATTCCACAATTAATAGTTTTATGCTTTGCTTACTTTTGAAGGTGCTATTTATTATTTTTAGCCGGGCGACTTTCATTTCAAAAGAATTGCTACATTTTTTCTTAAACAAGAAAGTCGTAGTAGTAATAGTTAATTTTAAATTTTGCAGCACACTGTAAAAGACACCTGTTTGAGATGAGTCGAACCGCCAAACGTTTTTTATGCGATAGTGATAAAAGATGTTATTTCTCTGATTAAAAGTAAAGTAAAGTTACAGCGTATATACGTCCCACTGCTGGGCACAGGCCTCCCCTCATTTCTAAGAGGGTTTTAGGGCAAAGAAGTGTCCGCCGCGCTGCCCTAAGGTGTTGGGTCTTCATGTTTCAAATATTTGTTTTTCTTATTCCTCGACATGCAGGTTTCTTCACGATGTTTTCCTTCACCGTCGAGCACGTGGTAAATCAGCACTTAAAATTGCAATTAACAATTTTATTGGTGCCGGCGGGGATCGAACCCGGGTTACTCGCGTTCTGTTATATTTACAGCGAGCGTTAACCATCTGAGCTACCACGGCTCTGATTAAAATATTGCCATATAATATATAAAAATCTTAACATAAATTATACAAAAAAAAATACCGTTCTACTTCATTGGGTGTCGTAAGAAACGACTATGTGAATATAAGAAATCATACACGTAGCCTGCATCATGCAAAATACCTACATCATTTTCAATTCCCGAGAGATACCAAGGGTCGTGTCGTTTAAATTATTATAATTCTATATATATGTATGTTATACATATATTATGTGTTTGTATTTTATATATTTTTGGTCATGTAGAAAGAATGAATGAGGAAAGAGTGACAAAGCAAATTTATATGGCAGATGTGAACGGCAGAGTCGGGAAGGGACGCCCTAGATGAAAGTTTATCGACCAAATTGGCGATATTTTGAAAATGGGCTACGTTAGAAGCACCCTTAATCGACGAGTGTGTATGCGTAGATATATGGATGTAAAGGAGGCGAGAGAGGTATGTGAGGATCGTGCCAAATGGAAGTCCGTAGTCTCTGCCTACCCCTCTGGGTGACAGGCGTGAGTATGTACGTATTATGTATGTTTTTAAAAGAAATATTTGCTATTTAGAAGTAATGGGTAAGAGCAACGTACGTTGTATTCGTTATATCAAATGTATCATTGAGGAGTATGTGTGTCAGCTATAATAATTCTTAGCATTACGTAATTTACATGAAACTAAACCATTCTTTTATGTGTAGACAGACACTTACCGGTGACCATATTTTATTTACGGACGTAAAAATTTCTCTAACTTCTTGTTTTCCCACAACATAGTTAGGGAAAATGCTCGCTGGTAAAAATATGACCGTTCGGAGACAATAAATTGATTCAAGCGGAATACTGAAATAAATCATCTTTTATGTTAGCACAAGCGGAGGTTTTGTTGGTGTTTATTCTATAAAAGTAGTTACATGTTATGTATATATAGGTCCCAATTAATATATATATATATATATATATATATATATATATATATATATATATATATATATATATATATATAGTTTGATATATATATATATATATATAGGATATATATATATAATGGATATGGAGAAAATAAAATTTTATCGTGTCGAAGTCAGTCAGTTAAACACGCTTTATTAAAGATGACTTAAAAACTACTGGTCAGATCTTGATCAAATATATGATCAAATGTATGTATATGGGACCATATGAAAAACATCAGATTTCAAATAAAAAAGAATCGTTAAAATCGGTTCACCTAGAAAAAAAATCGGAAACCTCCTTTTTTTGAAGTCTGTTGAAAAGTTGATTTTAGCATTGTCCGTTATCGTATAATAAATATGTCACGTAGACATGTTTACGATAAAACAATTATTATAGTTTGATTAAATCGAAGTTGGCGAAACGGTCAACGTGGTGTATTTAAAAGAAATACTATAACCACATGGACAGCCACCTACTTATGTGTCATTAAACTTGTTATCATTCCTTTAGAACAGAATATTGTTCAAGATTTAGCAGTGTTTTTGTCATCTAATATCAAGAATTTTTAATTAAATGTTATTATAAAGCAATATTTGAAGAAAGAAAAAGTTATCAGATAAGAATGAGTTGAAGGAAGAAAAATTATTACATTATGTTTTTGAATTAAATTAATTTCGAATACGATATGGACGAACCGTCACGATATAGAGTGATTGAGTTCTTAGATCATTTTATCATTATAAACCTTTTCATTAGCACTAGATTTGCGCATATTATTAGACTTAGCCCATAAAGGAAGTCCACCGCTGGATATGGCCCATTGTAAATTAGTCTTAAACTCGTAGTTACGCTTGGCAGGCTAATCGATCGCAGTACCAGACGCTTCTCACCTTTGACTCTGCTTCCTGTTGCCAGTCTGGGTATTTATTTATTGAAAGAGTTGTTAACACTACACAGGAAAGCTGTGTTGGTAAGCGCACAATTAACCCTGGAGTGGTCGCGTGGACTACATATGTAATCCACCTATACAAAATCGATAATTTCTAACAATCGATTTGCGTTAACTTGTGGCGCCTCCAGGTACTTTCAAATGAATGATTGAGCGACGCACTCAGTGCAGCGCAAGCACAGGACTCGCGCGGTTGTGTCACAGGAGCTCAGTAAAGTGCGTGGACTACAATTGTAATCCGCGCGACCAACTACGTGAGTATTTTTTTTTATTGAATTATTATGTTTTCATTTATTTTAGATAAATAATACTTTATTTTGATCTGTTTTGTTACATTATTGTAATATAATGTTTTTTTTTAGACAAAAAATGGACAATGCACGTGATGCACTAATTGAGTCGTGGCTGGCTGAAGTTGATGTCGGAAATCATGTTTATGAAGCTGAATCGAGCTCTGACGAAGAAGTTGATAATTTAGAAGAGGAAGATCATCATCAATCGGAATCTGAGCAAGAGCAAGACATACAAGGTGATGGATCTGACGAAAGTTCTGAAGAAGATAATCCACCTCAGAAATGCCGCCGACGCACGGACTTTTACAAGGGAGTAGATGATACATTATGGTCGAAAACAGTTCCCCTAAATAGAGGTAGAATACGAAGTCATAATATAGTGTTTGTACCCCCAGGGCCGAAAGGAACAGCTCGCCAAAAAACAACCCTAGAAGACTGCATGTCACTGTGTTTTGATGATCGTATCATCCACCTCATTACAAAATATACTAATAATAAAATTGATTATATCAAGGAGAAATATAGGAGATAACGAGATGCTACACAGACCAATGAAACTGAAATTAGAGGTTATATAGGGATATTAATAATGGCTGGAGTAGTTGGAAAAAGGAAAAGTACTGCTATTATATTTGAACATGTAAAACACACAGGGATCGACGCCATATATTTGACAATGTCGGAAAAAAGGTTTAAATTTATAACAAGGGTATTACGCTTTGATGATATTGAAGACCGCCAAGACCGTGCCAGAATTGATAAGTTAGCCCCGGTAAGAGAGATTTTTGAATTTTTCCTTGCAAATTTTCAAAACTATTTTATTCCTAGTGCCGAAATGACTTTTGATGAACAGCTGGTAGCTTTTCGAGGCCGCTGTCCTTTTAGGCAATATATTCCAAATAAACCGGCTAAATACGGGGCGAAAATTTTTACGCTAGTTGATGTCCACTATCCTTACACATATAATTTAGAAATATATGCTGGCCAACAACCAGATGGTCCTTTTCACCTGAGCAATGAAAGACATGATATTGTTATGAGAATGGTACAGCCTGTCCTTGGCAAAAATATGAATATCACCATGGATAACTGGTTTTCTTCACTTCGAACTGCAAAACAACTTTTCGAAAACGGTACAACAATGGTCGGGGCGGTACGGAAAGATAAACGAGAAGTCCGTCGGGAATTTCGTGTCGCAAGAGGAAACCCACTATATTCTTCCAAATTTGGGTTTCACTCACGATGTACACTGTTGTCTTATGTGGCAAAACCCAATAAAGTAATTATTTTGATTTCGACGATGCACAACGATGCTACAATTGATGAAGACTCTGGAGATAGTCGAAAGCCAGAAGTTATAACTTACTACAATAGGACTAAGAATGGAGTCGACCTGGTGGATAAAATGTGTTCCATGTATGATGTAGCAAGAAACTCAAGAAGATGGCCTCTTACAATTTTCTTCCGCTTGCTGAATTTGAGTGCACTCAATGCATTGTACATTTACACGGCAAACAGAAATTACGAACATGTCAGCTGACGTGAGTCTCTTATTGACTTGTCTCTGGCATGGATGAAACCACTAGCGCAGAAGATACTAGAAAAAAAAACATTGCCAAGAACACTCACAATGAAAATCAAAGATTTTCTTGGTATTACGTACGCAGAAACTCAACCCACTACCTCGCAAGGTACATCGAGCAGTGTTGTGCGCCGTTGCCATGACTGTGAAAGAGCGCGCAACAAAAGTACTAGAAAGATGTGCACCAAGTGCAGTAAGTTTGTATGTGGAGATCATTTAAAGATTATGTGTCTTTCCTGTGCAGAAAACAACATTTAGATATAAGTTTCAACTATTTTTATAAATTGTGATGTTAATTAGAACAATCCATGTGATTTTTGTGCCATTTTAGAGAAGATTTTTTATTTTGTTGATTATTTGTAACACAGAGGTTGTGATTTAATTGTGATAATTATGTTTAAAAAGAGAAAACTGTACTGATTTTATT